AAGTTTATACTGCAGGTTGATGTGGCTGATACAAAGCATCAGAGATAATACACAAACAGGATGTGGTTGATCAGTGGCTCAATTCAGCCTTCACATGGTTTTGCTCAAAGCAGAATCTTGGATTCCTTATAACAGGTTCGCACATTAAAACCAAAGTTATGAGCACATGGTTACATGCATTTCATAGGATGTGATTTGATGAAGCAGCAGAAGCTGGACGGACCAACAGGCAGCTGGTTTAAGTGGAGCTCTTGTCGTCGAGATAGTTCATGATGTCCTTGACCCAACGGAGACTGGGATTCGCGCAGATGTGACGATATCCTTTTGTTATCAAACTGAAAGAAAAAAGTGAGAAAGGTTAACGTTAGTATCACTATTGACACTGTTCTCTGATTTTTCATCCAAAATAAGAACAGCTACGGAGCAAAAACATACACGAGGAAACGCTTTAATGATAACTGGAGTAAAAATGAGACACAAAATAACAACAAGCAATTTCATAATTTAAATTTCATAGTGATATTGAGTAATAATTGCAGCACTTACACGACTGCAGACATGGCGCACCTGGGATGAGTGATGTAATATGAGTCAATGTGTTTTTTGTTCAGTCTTGACGTGGTATGTCCGAAGCAGCAGCCTTGTGGATCACGTGAAACAAAAGAAAGAACAATGAGAGATGAACCATCAGAGTGGCGGAAAAAGTATTTTAAATAAATATAACGAAAAGTCAAAAGTTTGACTGAACTAACAAGAGAAGAATTATTTCGACTTAGACTGATAGATGTCTTTCAGTAAACTTTCTGATGCCAATTCCACATTTGCTGCTTCACATGTCAAAGTTTTTGCATTTATCAAGCATTCTTCTCCAGATCCTTGTTTCTGACATGAACTGACACATTTGAATGAAGGTGAGACTGAAGCTTACCATCCAGCATCGTGTTTTTGGTTTTACCAGCAGAGACGCTGACTGGACCCGGAGTTGACATCATATCTCCATCATATCTTCTCGGGTTGTCTGTGACGCAGGACTTGCCAAATATATCTAAAGAAAGAACAATGAGAGATGAACCATCAGAGTGTCGGAAAAAGTATTTGAAATAAATATGACAAAAATTATTTATATTACAAGAATTATTTAGACTTAGACTGATAGATGTCTTTCAGTAAACTTTCTGATGGAGAAAACAAAGTCTGGCTGAACACANACCACACAATCACCACAGAACCCAAAGTATACCATGAAACTTGAGAGCTTCTTATGGCAAAGCACTCACACTGACTCACCTGATCACAACCCAGTTCACAGCAGTAAAGGAGAGACAATTCAACTTCTACTATCACTTTAAGCTCTTAAGACCTGGCACCCACATGTGTGGACATAACATTTTGGGTTATATTACCACAGTAGAAAATTTTTGAATGCTTTTTTTTTTTTTAAATAGTATTTTATTACTGTTATTTATTTAAGATTTTTTGCAATATGTTGCAAAGCTGTTGTTGATAAAACTTAAAAACTGTAAAGATGAGCTGGTTTTGTTCGGCCTTCTAACTACATCTGACCTGGTATAACATCTGTATTTATTAAATGTCAAGCTTTTCTTGAGAGAGTCTTCTGATACATCGGCAGTAGAACACAAAATGAATATTATATCCAGGTATTTTTCTTTCAAACTAAACATTTTTAACATTAGACTAATCATGTGACGCTGCAGATCCGCTGCAGTAATATGACGTGATGGGTTGACTCCTGCTGGATGGAAGTTTAAAGCAGCAGCAGGTTTCAGCCTTGACTCTCTTGTACTCAACCTAAATGAAAGTAACAGCAGGGGAGGGGAAGTGTGGCTGTTTTTAAACTGAGATGTCGGTGCTCTAGCAACATCCAGTGGCTCTGAGCGTCACATGCAGCACCTTTGAAGCCCATTCACATTAAAACATTACGATATAATGACACTGTGACATGGAGCATTCTGCATAATGAGTGATTTATGATAAAACTCCACCTTGTAGAGGACACAAAGAACAACGCTGCTGCTGCTCCTCTAAACCCCTTAAAGCTCACCTCTGTGTGTCACATGCAGAGATGTTGCTCAGAAAAATGTATGGACAGAACAAAACGGCATCTGTTTGGTTGGTTTAATTAAAGTGTATGATTTAAGTCTGTATTTAGCTGAAGCTTTTGTAGATACTCATAAATATCATAGGTACAAAAAAAAGTGTTTTTTGTGGTTAGTTTTTGTCATTTATATTGTAATTTTTTAAAAAGCAGCCGTTTCCAGATTTTTCATCAATTAAGGCGTATTTATATTATACTGGATATAAGTTCTCATGAAAATCTACAACAAACATGATCAGAGTGAGCAACAACAAGTGAATCTGCATGAACATAGTTAAAGAGAAAAAAGTGTTGACATGAAATGTCACTGACAATAACCGTTAAAAAACAAAC